TAACCACTGAATCTTGAAAATGAGGTTAAAGTCAGCTGACACCTGCCAGATGGACATGTACATCTTACAATCATTCCATACAGCTAGCTTTCTTATCGAACGTTAGAAAATTTTTAACGTGACGTATGATAGTGACGTCACACAGTGAAAAGGTTACAGACACGGACAAGGATCAGAATACTGAAAGAGAAGCCACTCAAGGCTCAAGAACAAATACGGAATTTAAACTTTTATTAAACCTGTATTATCAGTAAACTGATAAACATTGATATATTAGGTACATTGAAATCTAAAGAGTCACATGAGACACGGACATAGCGAATGAGTTGGGATATATTAACACTGTCGTATTTCGAAAGGGCCATCACCGTCCTAAAAAGGAAAATTAATAATATGTGTCATGAACGAAAACTGTATAAGCCATTATCTGGTCCCGGCCTCTGATAATTTTTGCTGTGCCGAGTTTTTGTCTATGATGATCTATAATTATATTTTTCAAGATAATAGGCAAAAAAAAAAAAAAGAAGAAAAAACATGCCAAAAGGATTTAGGTCAGGAGTTAACGATTTCTTCATATTGACTTACTTGTATAGATCTGCTGTTGCTGCTCCTGTTTGCAGTTCAAAGTTTCACTCGTTATTTCACTATTATAGTTTTCAAAAGTTTAAACACTATAGTTTTCAAAAGTTTAAACACTATAGTTTGTCAAAACTCATCATGCGTTTGCAAAAACCGCAGACAAATGTGAAAACCTTTAATTGAAGGTAAATATAAGTTATCATGCTTTGACCCAACTAACATGATTATTTAGACAGTGTCGAAAATTGTTGAACGATGAGGACGAAAGCCCGAACCGTTCAACATTTTCTACACTGTCTAAATAATCATGCTAGTTGGGTCAACGCATGATAATATTTTTGTGCGGTTATGCTAACCGTATTAAGTATACAATTATTGAAAAGTTAAACACAAATGTCCTAGATTTCACTTCGCAAAACCTAACGTCAAATATTCAAGTGTTTACTCCGCCCACTGACCGCGTATTTGACCTTCACTCTTGATGTGTATGCTCCGCCCACTGATCGTTACCTGATTATCTATTGATTTTCCATGTAACGCATAGTTGATGTGTTTTATGCACACTAAAGATGGAGCCTGGTAAAAGACGATTTGTCGATATAAGTGACAGTTGATGAAGAAATCGAACGAAAACGTTTGAAAATGACTGCTGATAAAACAATAAAGCAAAGTATAGCAGCAGCGACTATTTTCCGGCAGTATTTAAAAGAAAAGAAAATATATCCAAGAATCGAACATAATTTATGACACATTAAAGTAAGATGAAGCGTTGGGCCATTTATATATGGATGTGCGTAAAGCTGATGGACATTATTATAAATAATATAAGATACTCATTGAATACAATATTTTAGGGCTCCACCGTACAATTTAAAAATTGACATTGTGAATGATGAAAGTTTTAGTGCTTCCAGAGAACATTTCAAAACGGCAATGACAGAACTAAAACGCATTGGATTAGGAGACGTCTAGCATTATCCGTCTATTGACGAAGATACTAACCCTATCCACAAGACTTTACGGTCATCTTGTTCATCTAATAATCTTAATGTTTCAATCTGCCAATCAAACAATATACAGTTCTGGATGTCATATATCTGCTTGTCTTCCTCGTGCTCCCTACACGTCATATGTCGAAAGTTCTAGAAAAGAAGAAAAGAGAGATTGTTAAAGTTAAGTGTAACATTTGTCAGAAGTGGTTAAACAGAAACTCCTTGGCTAAACACAAGAAGAGCAATGCCTGCAGAAGCTATGCTAGCAAACAGTTGGTTCCTGAAGAGCATAGAGGTGGAGATATGGTACCTGTTAGCAGTTCAGGCCGTGAACAGAGAGGTGTACCAGCTGGACCTGTTGAGGGAGATGAACGACATATTCCCGGTGAGAAACGTGGTCAGAACTTCGCCCTTACGTTCTCTTATCCATGTAAATACAGCATTTCCCAGAGACTGCTCACTCCACGAATGGAGTTCTCCCATGAAGAGGTTATTGGGCTGGTTGTTAGTAATGAAGCAGGCGGGGGTTATATGCCTAATGCCCATTCGCACGCATATGTTAAGACGAAGGAACAGTACACCTTTGAAGAGTTCCAGAATCTATGGGTTATCGAATTTCTCTGCCCGGGTTATACGGATGTCCAGTCTCCGAAGAAGGTTAAGGACTGGGTTAAATATATTACCAAAGAGGACTATCGCGCTGTTGTCTGTGGTGTGGACAAAGACTGGCTAGGAACTATTTGTAAATCGTACTGTTGTGCAATGAAGTGGTCTAAGATTATGTATACTTTACCACCATATTGCTACCTAAGCTACATTGATAAGAAGATTTTTGATAGTCAGTTTGCCGTGTTTCATAGGGAGCACGAGGAAGACAAGCAGATATATGACATCCAGAACTGTATATTGTTTGATTGGCAGATTGAAACATTAAGATTATTAGATGAACAAGATGACCGTAAAGTCTTGTGGATATATGATGCTGTTGGTGGAGAAGGCAAGACATTTCTTGCAAAGTACATTCAGTTATACAGAGATTGTATTTGCTTAGAGAGTGGAAAAAAGACTGATTTGGCTCATTGTTTCACAAATGAGAAGTATGTGTTGTTTGATTACACCAGGTCAATGGAAGAAACCATTAACTATAGCATAATTGAGAATTTCAAGAATGGATTTCTATTTAGTGGAAAATACGACAGTCAAGTCAAGAAATTTGATCCCTGCAAAGTATGTTGCTTCTCAAACTTCAGTCCTGACAGAAGTAAGTTATCAGAAGACCGATGGATGCTGTTTGCACTGGACAGAGGTGAAATGACATTAATGTAAACATGTATTACATTTGTAAATAGTTTATATGTTTGTGTTAATTAAAATTTATCATGCGAAAGCACACTTTATATTTTGTTTGTTATTATTTAATTTGTTGTGTCCAATAACAATCTAGGGTTAGGGTTAGGGTTAGGGTTAGGGTTAGGGTTAGGGTACATAAAAGCCGTACATATGTCGAAAGTTCTAGAAAAGAAGAAAAGAGAGATTGTAAATTGGTTAATTTTAATTTTTATTTTTTAATTTATTTTATTTTTTTTTATTTTTTTATTTTTATAATTTTTTGAATTTGGCGCCATTTAATATGATAATGTGTGTTTATTATATGATTATATATAATATTTGATTATCTCCCCTTTTTTTTTTTGGCCGCCATTTTGTGTACGGCCTCGGCTGGCTCTAGTATTACAGTGCCAGCCGCCAGGAGCCGTACAAAAGGCCGTACATTTTTTTTGAATAACTTTTTTATTATTGATCGTAGCCCATTTTCTTTATTATTTTATACAGGCCGTACGATGGATGCTATCCGAATATGTAATAATATTTTACTTTGGGGGGGGGGGTCAGGAGGGGGGGTTGTTTTCCCCCTTCTATTATGAATGCTATTTGGTCTTTATATTGATCATAGGGGTTTGGGGAATGTTCCCCATGTTTAAGGTCGAGGTTGACTAAGTACATGATTATCAATGTCAACCTCGGAGCGGCCGGGAGCGGGCCTTGGCCCAGCGATCCAGCGGAGAGTACTCTGTGGCTGATACTGTGTCCAACAGAGACCCAGTGCCAAAATCCTTTAGCTCTCCGCTTACTATCCACGTGAATTGATTATCCACTTTCATTTATTGATATTTATTATTAATGATTATGCACGATTAGTTTTTATTATCCATTTTAATATATACTTATGATTCTATGAATTTTAATTTTTAATGATTGAAGTAATTTTTTACCTGATTTCAGTTGTTTGTATATAAGGGTACAGTATTACCCCTTATATACCTATAGCCTAATCCTTTAGCCTTTTTCTCATTTGGCTGACTAATGGTATTTCCATTTAGTTGGTTGGGAATTTTCATTTTAATTTGGATTATTCCAATATTTTTATAGGTAATTTATTTTTTATTTTTTTTTTTTTTTTTTTTTAAATTTTTTTAATATTATAATTTTTATCTTATTTGATTACATTTTTAATTTGAATATGATAATGTTTTTAATTTTAATTTTTATTTTTTATTTTTTAATTTTTAACTTTTATTTTTTATTTTAATATGTAACCATGATTTTAATTGGTTAATTTTAATTTTTATTTTTTAATTTATTTTATTTTTTTTTTATTTTTTTATTTTTATAATTTTTTGAATTTGGCGCCATTTAATATGATAATGTGTGTTTATTATATGATTATATATAATATTTGATTATCTCCCCTTTTTTTTTTTTGGCCGCCATTTTGTGTACGGCCTCGGCTGGCTCTAGTATTACAGTGCCAGCCGCCAGGAGCCGTACAAAAGGCCGTACATTTTTTTTGAATAACTTTTTTATTATTGATCGTAGCCCATTTTCCTTATTATTTTATACAGGCCGTACGATGGATGCTATCCGAATATGTAATAATATTTTACTTTGGGGGGGGTCAGGAGGGGGGGTTGTTTTCCCCCTTCTATTATGAATGCTATTTGGTCTTTATATTGATCATAGGGGTTTGGGGAATGTTCCCCATGTTTAAGGTCGAGGTTGACTAAGTACATGATTATCAATGTCAACCTCGGAACGGCCGGGAGCGGGCCTTGGCCCAGCGATCCAGCGGAGAGTACTCTGTGGCTGATACTGTGTCCAACAGAGACCCAGTGCCAAAATCCTTTAGCTCTCCGCTTACTATCCACGTGAATTGATTATCCACTTTCATTTATTGATATTTATTATTAATGATTATGCACGATTAGTTTTTATTATCCATTTTAATATATACTTATGATTCTATGAATTTTAATTTTTAATGATTGAAGTAATTTTTTACCTGATTTCAGTTGTTTGTATATAAGGGTACTGTGTTCATTATTATTCATAATAAAATAGGAGAAAACTGTCAAATTAAAGAAAACTTACTTTCTTTTAGCTGTTCATGCGGAGGAGAATGCACTGAACGAAACGGTAAATGTGAACCAGGTTGCTCCTGCAAGTAAAACAAAAAGACACTCGATTTATTCTATGCATCAATAATCTTTTTGTATTAAAGTAAATAGTTCCTGCGGAAGTAGTATTTAAAGAGTAAATCGGTTTAAAGTTTCAATATTAAAATTCGTCAATTTTGCACGAAAAAAAATAAAGTAAATACATTTGTATTTAGTGGTCGGCAAGTCGGTAGGCACTTACAAAAACATAAAGGAACATTTTCAATTGTCGGTAGGTCGGCACTTTTATGAGACGGTTAATTTGCATGTAGAGATATAATTAGTACATTTGTATTTAATGTTCAGTTATACCAGTTGCGATAAATAAAATTCATAAGGTAAACCCTGTCAGTTGTTTCATGTCTACCCATACCACACCCAAAATAAAAATAGTTTGGTGCCTTAATTTGGTACAAAATTAAGACCGTTTTTATGCATTTTCACTATTAAAAGTTTTATGATACAGAAGGCTTACTACTGGAGGAGTGTGATCTTGTTCCATGAATACCCTTTTCTGGTCTTCAAATTTGTCAGTTCTCAATGGACACTTTGCTGTATGAATTTGCATATTCGTTCGTTTATCTCCGGTTTTGCATCCACTTTCAAAATTTAGACAATCGATACTTGCATGTGAGCAGATTGACTTGTGTTCTAAAATTTTGTTTCTTTCATTTGTTAAACCACAACCAATGTTTGGACATTGAAACAAGACTTCAGCCTTGAAACAAGCGTCTAAGTGAAAAAGTTCTTCTTCACGAAGCACTGTCTTTTTACAAAGCTTCCTTTTTGTTTTAGACTTCGCACAATACTTTTCATGTTCATTTATGTCTTTTTTCATTATCGCTTGGCCACATTTATTGCAAAATAATGAAGCAAACAAATCAATTTCTGAATCTTTTCCTGTAAGTCGTTGATCGCATTCAAAATGGTGATTCTGGCAAAGAATGGAGCGATGTTGACATTTAAACAAGTGTTGTTCTATTTGGCATCTTATGATTTTCTCCCCACATCCAACTGATGGACAAGTTATCAACGTAAAAGTACATTCCTCAATATGATTATCGAGACACCATTTCGCGAGGAAATGCGGGCAAGATTTGTTTGGACATTTGATTGGTCTATATCTGCATGTTTTTACATGAGTTATTAATCTGGTGAATTCTCTTCCACTGCATGAAGGTTGGCTCCTATTAAAACGTTTAAACCCGTTGCATTTGTTTGCACCTGTCCTAAGTAACGAACCTTATGTTCAGTGGTTGTCGTTTGTTGATGTGGTTTATAAGTGTTTCTCGTTTCTCGTTTTTTTATATATATTAGACCGTTGGTTTTCCTGTTTGGATGGTTTTACACTAGTCATTTTTGGGATCCTTTATAGCTTGCTGTTCGGCGTGAACCAAGGCTACGTGTTGAATGCCGTACATTGACCTATAATGGTTTACTTTTACAAATTGTGACATTGATGGAGAGTTGTCTCATTGGCACTCATACCATATCTTCTTATATCTGTATAAACATAAACATTATTATGTCGTGAACTCGATATTTGAGTCACAAGGTGTAAAATTAAAGTGCCCAAGAACTTACTGAATGCACAAGTGAATCTATTATAAATGTTAAGCATAAGCTACTGTTTAGAGAAACAATTATAGTACGGTTTTTGTGTTGTTTTATGTATTAACAGGAGTTTAAAGAACCTGTGTTGCTCACCTATATATTCAACATTTGTCAATTTTTGGTAAAAATCATCGTAGTGCATGAAATGGTAATAAGCCGCCAGGAGCCGTACAAAAGGCCGTACATTTTTTTTGAATAACTTTTTTATTATTGATCGTAGCCCATTTTCCTTATTATTTTATACAGGCCGTACGATGGATGCTATCCGAATATGTAATAATATTTTACTTTGGGGGGGGTCAGGAGGGGGGGTTGTTTTCCCCCCTTCTATTATGAATGCTATTTGGTCTTTATATTGATCATAGGGGTTTGGGGAATGTTCCCCATGTTTAAGGTCGAGGTTGACTAAGTACATGATTATCAATGTCAACCTCGGAACGGCCGGGAGCGGGCCTTGGCCCAGCGATCCAGCGGAGAGTACTCTGTGGCTGATACTGTGTCCAACAGAGACCCAGTGCCAAAATCCTTTAGCTCTCCGCTTACTATCCACGTGAATTGATTATCCACTTTCATTTATTGATATTTATTATTAATGATTATGCACGATTAGTTTTTATTATCCATTTTAATATATACTTATGATTCTATGAATTTTAATTTTTAATGATTGAAGTAATTTTTTACCTGATTTCAGTTGTTTGTATATAAGGGTACTGTGTTCATTATTATTCATAATAAAATAGGAGAAAACTGTCAAATTAAAGAAAACTTACTTTCTTTTAGCTGTTCATGCGGAGGAGAATGCACTGAACGAAACGGTAAATGTGAACCAGGTTGCTCCTGCAAGTAAAACAAAAAGACACTCGATTTATTCTATGCATCAATAATCTTTTTGTATTAAAGTAAATAGTTCCTGCGGAAGTAGTATTTAAAGAGTAAATCGGTTTAAAGTTTCAATATTAAAATTCGTCAATTTTGCACGAAAAAAAATAAAGTAAATACATTTGTATTTAGTGGTCGGCAAGTCGGTAGGCACTTACAAAAACATAAAGGAACATTTTCAATTGTCGGTAGGTCGGCACTTTTATGAGACGGTTAATTTGCATGTAGAGATATAATTAGTACATTTGTATTTAATGTTCAGTTATACCAGTTGCGATAAATAAAATTCATAAGGTAAACCCTGTCAGTTGTTTCATGTCTACCCATACCACACCCAAAATAAAAATAGTTTGGTGCCTTAATTTGGTACAAAATTAAGACCGTTTTTATGCATTTTCACTATTAAAAGTTTTATGATACAGAAGGCTTACTACTGGAGGAGTGTGATCTTGTTCCATGAATACCCTTTTCTGGTCTTCAAATTTGTCAGTTCTCAATGGACACTTTGCTGTATGAATTTGCATATTCGTTCGTTTATCTCCGGTTTTGCATCCACTTTCAAAATTTAGACAATCGATACTTGCATGTGAGCAGATTGACTTGTGTTCTAAAATTTTGTTTCTTTCATTTGTTAAACCACAACCAATGTTTGGACATTGAAACAAGACTTCAGCCTTGAAACAAGCGTCTAAGTGAAAAAGTTCTTCTTCACGAAGCACTGTCTTTTTACAAAGCTTCCTTTTTGTTTTAGACTTCGCACAATACTTTTCATGTTCATTTATGTCTTTTTTCATTATCGCTTGGCCACATTTATTGCAAAATAATGAAGCAAACAAATCAATTTCTGAATCTTTTCCTGTAAGTCGTTGATCGCATTCAAAATGGTGATTCTGGCAAAGAATGGAGCGATGTTGACATTTAAACAAGTGTTGTTCTATTTGGCATCTTATGATTTTCTCCCCACATCCAACTGATGGACAAGTTATCAACGTAAAAGTACATTCCTCAATATGATTATCGAGACACCATTTCGCGAGGAAATGCGGGCAAGATTTGTTTGGACATTTGATTGGTCTATATCTGCATGTTTTTACATGAGTTATTAATCTGGTGAATTCTCTTCCACTGCATGAAGGTTGGCTCCTATTAAAACGTTTAAACCCGTTGCATTTGTTTGCACCTGTCCTAAGTAACGAACCTTATGTTCAGTGGTTGTCGTTTGTTGATGTGGTTTATAAGTGTTTCTCGTTTCTCGTTTTTTTATATATATTAGACCGTTGGTTTTCCTGTTTGGATGGTTTTACACTAGTCATTTTTGGGATCCTTTATAGCTTGCTGTTCGGCGTGAACCAAGGCTACGTGTTGAATGCCGTACATTGACCTATAATGGTTTACTTTTACAAATTGTGACTTTGATGGAGAGTTGTCTCATTGGCACTCATACCATATCTTCTTATATCTGTATAAACATAAACATTATTATGTCGTGAACTCGATATTTGAGTCACAAGGTGTAAAATTAAAGTGCCCAAGAACTTACTGAATGCACAAGTGAATCTATTATAAATGTTAAGCATAAGCTACTGTTTAGAGAAACAATTATAGTACGGTTTTTGTGTTGTTTTATGTATTAACAGGAGTTTAAAGAACCTGTGTTGCTCACCTATATATTCAACATTTGTCAATTTTTGGTAAAAATCATCGTAGTGCATGAAATGGTAATAAGCCTATTTGAAGATCTTGTCTTACTGATCATTTTTTATGTTTAAAGTTTCATCTATGGAATGAACCCTTCAAAATAATTATAAATATAGTCAAAAATGCTTATAAAATCGGGAAAATCGTCATTTAAGAGCAATAACTTCAATAAGGATCATTATTGATAATTTTGTTTAGTTATATGCCCTAATGAATGATTGTGGCCAAACTTATTTAGTTAAATTAAGCCAGTAGTTTCAGAGGAGAATATTTTTAAAGATATTTATCAAAAATCGCAAAAGTTATAAAAAAAAAATCGTCATTAAAGGGCAATAACTCCAGTGTGATGTCGTCTTTCGATTTTTCGATTTTTCTCTTTTTGTAGATCTTGTCTTTGTAATCATTTTCCTGATTAAACTTTTTCTCTATCTATTACAGTTTTTCAAAAATGATTTAAATTATAGAATTGTAAAAGTTAACCTTTAAGGGTAATAACTTTCATAAGGAAGTCGTCTGACTGTTTTGACATAAACGATCAGCAGGAAGATCTCAACATTCTTAACATTTCTGCCCTTTCAGATTTTCTGTATTCATAGCTATTTTCAAGCTAATAGACCGAACTTGCATTTTATCTCTATGTTCTAAGAAACAGATAATTGTCTACACATTGGGTAGTTCTTAATCGGACGAAATTCTTAAATATCAAATAAACCAAACAGGAAGTATCAGAGAATGGCTAATAATATAACTTTAAGATGATATTATGACACAAGACGATTTTTTAGAAGCTCCTGGCTTGGTACAGGCATATCATTAACTATTTATCAATTTCCTAAAGACGGTAATGACCAGACGCCTTAAATTTATGGTAGACATGAAAATAACTTTCCCTGAAGTTGAAGTTGCATTGTCTGTTTACAAAATACAAGAAAACTATCAATTTAAAGAACACTCTTTTCTTACTTTTTGGTAGCTGTTCGTGTGGAGAAGAATTTACTGGACCAAACTGTAAATGTAAACCAGGTTGCTCCTGCAAGTGAAACAAAAAGGAGAACACTCGAGTTATTCCATGCATCAATATTGTTTGTTTTTTTTTTTGTACTAAAGAAAATAGTTCCTATGGAAGTAGTATTTAAAAATTAAATCAGTTTAAAGTCGGCAATATTAAAAGTCGTCAATTTTGCATGGAAAATAAATATATTTTATATTTAGTGGTCGGCAAATCGGGAGGTCGACACTTTAAACAAATAAGAAATTGTTTCATATATCGGCAGGTTGGCACCATAAGAGACAGTAAATTTTATGTAAAGATATGATTAGTGCATTTGTATATAACGTTCGGACATACCAATTATGATAAATAAAAATCTTACTCAACATTAGGTAAACCCTGTTAGGTTTTTCATATTTTCCCATACCGCACCGTAAATAAAAATGGATGGGTGTCTTTGGTATAAATTTATGACCGTTTTTATGCATTTTCACTTTCAAAAATGTATTATACAGAAGACTTACTGCTGGAGGAGTGTGATCATGTTCCATACATAACTTTTTGTGGTCTTCCAATTTGTCAGTTCTCACATATCTATGACAAACGTCAGAAAATGAAAGCCTGTACTTCCTTTGACACGTACGCTCATGAATTCCCCAAGTTGATCTGAAGGAAATTTACAAAAATACTTATTAATTCATTATTATTAATAGAATTGCACATTGATACCCCCGAGGGGTTGAAGGCATAAAACTGTATGACCTTGGCCCTTAAGCACATAAATAAACCTTATGTTTGTGATTAAATTGTACACGTATCCGAAATGATTGTAAACAGTGCCAATATATCTGTTACCTTAATAGGTTTGCAGCTAGATAAACAAACTTTGTTTACAATACAATTGTCAGAAGTGGTTGCGTATGAACTAAGTCATATTATACCCTTTTAAACAGGAACAGTTTACCCTTCCGAGGCACTTGAAA